AACATTTCTGGTCCAAAGGAATAAACAAACCGAATCTGCGTGCAATCACAGTCTGTTTACTACACTGAACATATTTAGATTTGATCTGAACTTCAATTCAAAACTGGCTTGTAGCCTCGGTACTGTGGCATCTAAACTCTAAGAACATCCTTGGTGGGATGTATTTTCCTCAGAGAACAGTTTGAACTTTCCATGCCCTTTTGATCAAGTGTCCACATAACAGGAAGTGTAATATCTAAACATCCTATTTATTCAAAGGCTAACATCTTCCTAGGGTTACAAAACACGGCCAGTGATAGCCAAAGACTAACTTGAATTCATGATTTTCATTTATATGAGACTTTAGCAAGTACTAGGTTGAAGAGACTCAGGAACAGAAGGGACTGGATGTTAAAAACAAACAGAAAAGCTCGGAGTGGTGGGGCATGCCTATAATCCCAGCACTAGGGAGGCTGAAGCAGGAGGATCGCTGAGTTTGAGACCAGCCTGGGCTACATAGTGAGTTCCAGATCAGTCTCAACTACATAGTGAGACCCTGTCTCAAAAACACAAAAAATGAAACAAAACAAAACAGAAAAACAAACCTGAGGCTATCAGAGAAAGGTGAAACAAAATACAGAGCATCTTCACTGATTAGGTCTTTCTTTGCACATTTCAATTCCACAAAGGAAGAAGTTTTTGTTCCAGGGGCAAATAAATGAAAAAAAGAATAATAAGAAGAAAAATCCTGTTGGCCAGCAGAGAAAGTGTCTCCTCACTGTTGCACGGACTTTTAGTCCACAGTTGACTCTGCATAAATTATAGTAATAATGGAAAGCACCTAGCAAACATTCATTAATTAACCAGTAGAAACCACAGGTGGATTCTAGCTGAATCCAAGATCTCAGAAGAAAACCAGGTCAGTCATCAGGACCACTGCTCTTACCCTGGAGTAACCCAGATCTTTCTCCCTATTTGATTAGGGACAAAGGACATCTGCAAAGAAGGTCAGATCCATAGATACACTGTTTCCAGTCCTCCAAGCAATCTAGATAAGACCTCCAGGGGTCTGTTTTGAATTCCTCTGCATCTTTACTGCAGCCACTCCCAGTTCCCTCCTGGAGGCAATATCAACAGAAGGTGCAGAATCAAAGCAATTCAAAAAGTGAAATGACAACAGTCTTAGTTGCCAAGTCAAAAGGTTCTCTGCGGTAAAGCCCTTTGCCTCTGGAAGGTCCCGGAAGAGCCCTTTCATAAATTAGTTTTAGCATCATTGTTAGACTCTGAGGAGAAGTAAGGTCGAAAGCCCCAAACTGTTAGCCAGTGGAAGCAGCAGGGCCTGCTGCCATTGTGTGCCATCCTTAAATGTGAACACATAAAGAAAGTGCTTGGTAACAGAACAAACTATCCAAATACCTTTTAATTCTTTAACTCAAGAATACATTGTATCTTTAGAAGACTAGCCAAACCAGGGTTGATCTCAGTAAAGTCTAGTGGCAGAAATTTCTCAGAAAGAAATCAGACTGAGAGCTGTTTAACGCCGCATTTTCTTATTGCAGCATAAAGCCAAAGTTTAGAGTCTCTAACAGGTGCAGTCTTAATCATATGACTTCAACTTACCCCACACAACCACTAGCAAAAAATCATATCTTCATCGTCTCCATCTAAAGCTTGTATCATCGATTGGAGAAGGCAAAATCCATATGCTTATATATACTTTATTTTTTTAAAAGGCATAAATACAAATAAAAAACACAATGCAATAAAATAGAGCCACAAATGAGATCTCAATTGCATGACAGAGTCCTGCTTAAAGGCTGGGAATCTAAGGGTGAATATTGTTTCAACAGAAATTTCCATAGATTCGGCGTTTTTTAGCATTAAAAAACGGCAAAAACTTTTCCTTGAGTGAGTTCCTCTTCTAGAACTTTCCACAACACATCTGCAAATACGTTTTAGGAAGTTTTGCCTTAACACTATCACAACTCCTATCTTCCAAAATTAATGTCAGGTACAATTCTGGAATGTAACACGAGCATCAATTTGGGGGCAATTACGATAGCTGTATTAAACATCCCATTATGCATGTCACCGCACATACACAAACTAAGTGCTCTTTTGAATTATGACTTGGTAAGCTTCGGAGGCACAACATTGTAACTACACACTCCGCTGTCAGAAAAATAACACTACTGCCCTGAATAGAGAATATTGGCAATGAGGGGGGGCGGGTCTTTGTGTTTACCTTGTTCCTAAATCACAGGTTAAATGTTTTCCCAACCAGCAAAGTGCAGAAGTGGGAGTAGTGGGTAGGATGTAGATAAAACTAAACTTCTTTCTAGTTTATGGAAGATAAATATAAATTTCTAGGCTCTCCCCTATTGACTCAATAAAAACATAAGGTGTTTAACCAGCCAGAAATTTCTGATTTAAATTTCATTTTGAGCTTGATTCCTTTTGGCATGCTGAGAAAACAGCACAAACGTCTCCCCAGAAGCCGCCACGGGATGCAGGAGCTCGAGGAGGCGAGGAGAAGGCGTTTCTTTCACCTGCTCTGCTCCAGCGACTGGCCGGCCTGGACACCAGCCCATTCCCGACTAGGCTTGCACAACCCAGCGCTGACCCCAGCTCCCTCCCCTCGCTAAAGCTGGGGTTCTTCCGACAGAAGTTCCTCATTGCGAGTTCAAAACGAAGTGTCCGAGGAGATGGTAGGGAAAGCTACTTTGTGTGCCTCCTATATCACAAACGTCTCTCTACTCGTTAAAACCCCGCCAGCCTAATGCACATTTTGAAAGGGAACCCCGCCAGCCCGCGTCCGGTCCCCAAAGCAAGCAGCCTCCGCCCGGCGCCCTGCCGGCGCCCCCTGGTGGCCGAACCGGGCCTAAGCGCCGCAGCGACGGAGTTCGGAGACTCAACGGGCTGCGCGCCGGCGCTGCCAGCCGGAGAGGCCCAGCTGTCCCCGCAGGCAGCCCCGGAGACCCAGTGCAGCCGGCAGCCGTAGCCTCGATCACCCTCACCCGAAGGGTGGAGGACGTAGGCCAGCGCCCGGAAATAACACGTGCCACTTCCCCTGCCATCTCTACTCCTAAATCCCAGGCGAAGGAGGAGAGTCCTGGAGAAACATGGAGAGAGAGAGAAGGACGAGAGCGCAGCGAGGCAGGGAATGCGCCAGGGACAGAGGAACGGGTCCGGAGGAGGCAGCTGGTGCCCGGGTTGCTACCAACAGATGTGGGATAGAGCCGGAGGAACCAAGCTCCGTATTTTCCTAGCACCAGTTTTAAGAGCTCCTGCCCCGCGAGGGCAAGATTGCAGGTGCTGTTGGGGAATTTTGACCTCATAAGCAGGCAGTTCCCTATCAAGCAAAAGCACTCTGCATATCATTAAACATTGCAGCACTGAGGGGTGCGTTCCCTTTCCCACCCGGACCCCACGTGCACGTTCCTAGGGGCGTGAGCGGCAGCTAGCGCAGAGCGTGGGGTTTCTGCACGTTTGAGGAGGGCAAAGGTCAGTCCACCTTCAAGATGGACAACGGGAGCTTCTGGAGAAATCTGCTAGGTGGACAGAGTGGGCAATCGAAGACAACTATCCTGGTTAAGGGAAGGAGGAATCCTGCAGTGGAAGTGAGAACGCCCCCCCCCGCGCCCCACTTCGGAAGTCCGCGTGGTTGCCCCGAGTGATCGTGTGTGTGCGTGCGTGTGCGTGTGGTACTGAATTAATTCCAAAGGCTTACGCTGCAGAATTTCCTCAGTCTACCGAGTCGAACAAAACGGTGAAAAAAAAAAAAAAGCCTTCCATCTATAGCTAACCCCCCCTTAAAATGATAAAAATAAAATTCTAATAAACCGAGAACTAAGAGTCAACATAATCAAAAGCCAATCCCAGCTGGAGCAGCAGAGACTTGAAACCCGAATCTGCATTCCGTTCCTCCCGTGCGAGGCTCGGCGGTGGGGGAGGTGGCTGGTGCTGGTGCCTGGTGTATAATCGGGTTAATCCAGTAGACAAAGAATAAACCAATAGCCCTCCCACCTCACTTCCCGCTCCCCTCTCCCTCCCCTTTCTGTTCCTCCCGGCGCCCCCTCGGCGTGGGGAGCGGTAGACTCGAAATGGATTCCGCGTAGCCTTAAAACCTGTAAGCTTGTTTTTAATGCTAACCCTGCGCGTCCCGGAGTGGTTTTAAACGTGCCTTCCCCTTCCCAGGTGGCTAGGAGAAAGTTCCTAAGGCCCCGCGAGCCCACAGATAGTCCTCACGGTCCCGGGGAAACCTTCGGGTCACAGTTTCCTTGGAACTAGATAAACTGACCCCGGGGCGCCCGGCCCGGCCCGGCCCGCAGGCGCC